TGTTGTACCAGGCCAAATACAACAGTCCATGCTGTACATGAGATGCTGGGAAAGGCAGCTAAATTTAGATCTAGAAAAAGCCTATGACCCCTTGTCAAACCAGTTTTTATTGACTACTTTGAAAATAATGGGCACTTTCCTTGCCCCTTTCCAGCACTGGTGCAGACTCTCTCCTCCCTGGATGCTAAAATCTGAACAAATTTTAAAAAATGGCTTCATCTGCAAGCCTGCATATATAATAGCTTACTTTCATCAAGTACAAGAGAGAGACCTAGGAGTCATGAGACCTGCCAGCCTCACCCCCTCCATACAAGCCAGATAGCTATACAGACTCACCCATTCTCCTGATGAGACGATCAGTTGAATCTCACTGGAATACGGCATTGGAACAAATACAGGAAGATGAGGCTAAAACCAAGTGGAAACAAATACCCAACATCATAGATCCTGTCTTAATCCTAACGATGCAAATTCCACCAGGAGTCTGAGAATAGACCCATGGAGAGAAATATCTAAGATAGCCCTTGCTGAGAATTGGTAGAGCTCCTATAAAACCTGTTCAAAAGCTTGAGATCTTTAATTCTGGACGAGGCATATACATCATCTATCACATATACTGTTTAGACACCAAAGACACTACCCTCTGTGCTATAGTTGCTAAAGTTAAAAAGTCAATTAAAGAATTATTACACCTATCCACATGGTGCACCACCATGACTGCAGTGGAACCCAGATCAGCTGACAGGGCTTCTAGCTGTGGGAGTGCACCCCACAGCTGGGATCCCCCCCTTGACCATATGTTCAATTAATGGCACGATAAGAGCCAGCTAGAAAGTTATTACACATTTTTGTGCAATAACTTTGTGGCTCATTCTTTGTTTTATCACACCACTGATTGATTGAATATGTGGCCAGGTAACAACTTAAGATGTGATTAACTGGTTAATCAAATCTTAAGTATAACATGTTCCAGAGGCCTTTGAGTAGAATAAGGTGATCAGGAACAGACAGCATGAATTCACCAAGATCAAGTCATGCCTCACTAACTTGATTTCCTTCTATGATAAAGGGACAAGCTCTGTGGATGTGGGAAAGCAGTGGATGTGATATACCTTGACTTTAGGAAGGCTTTTGCCACTAACTCCTTTGACATTCTCAATAACAAGCTAAGGAAATACAGACTAAATGAAAGTACTGTAATGTGGATACATCCAGCCATCAGGTTCAATGAGTAGTTATCAATTGCTCCATGTTCACTTGGGACAAGGTATCTAGCAGGGTTCCCTGGGGTATAGCCTAGGTCTGATATTGTTAAATATCTTTGTTAATGATATAGATGATGGGATCCAGTGCACACTTAGCAAATTTGCAGAAAACACCAAGTTGGGTGGAGCTGCAGATACTCCGGAAGGTAGGGCTAGGATTGGGAATGACCAGGATAGACAGGAGAAATGGTCTGGAATTAATCAGATGAGATTCACCAAGGACAAGGGTAAAGTCCTTCACTGGGGACAGAATAACTTCATACACAAATACAGACTGAGAAATGACTGGCTAGGCTGCAGTCCTGCAGAGAAGGAGCTGGGAATTACAGTAGACCACAAATGGAATATGAGCCAACAGCATGCTTTTGTTGCCAAAAAAAAAGCCAACAGCGTACTGGCTTATATTCACAGGAATGTCTCTTGCAAATCCAGGAAAGTGATTCCTCTGCTCACTTCAGCACTAGTGAGGCTTATCTAAAGAGCTGTGTCCAGTTTTGGGCCACAAAGGATATGGACAGTTTGGAAAGAGTCCAGTGCCTCCAATCAACAAAAATGATTAGGAGTCTGGGAGGCATGACTTACAAGGAAGGCTGAAAGAATTAGAGTTGTTTAGCCTGGAGCAGAGAAGACTGAGGGGGGGATTTGATAACAGTCTTCAAATGTCTGGAGATGGGCTTTTTCTCTGTGGCTTTAGGAAACAGGACTAGGAGCCTCAAGGTTCAGCAGGGGAATTTAGATAGGAGAGTAGGAGGAATTTTTTTTACTATAGGCAGTCAAGCAGTGGAAGAGGCTGCCTAAAGAAAATGTGGAATTTCAATCCGTGGACATTTTCAAGAGCGAGTTAGACAGACACTTGGGTTGGGATGGTTTAGTCAGGGACGTTCCTGCCTTGAGTAGGGGGCTCGATTAGATGACCTCCCAAGGTCCCATCCAGCCCTATTTTCCTAGGATCACTAAGGATATGTTATTTGCTGTCTCTCTCATTCTAGTCCCCAGAGCACTCGCATCCCCTGAACTCTGTGCTGGGCCCAGGGAAAATGACAAACTGGATTCTTGCCTTTACACTTCATTTCATTTACATCACCCTGCAGAGTTGCTATTAAGAGAAAAATTCTCTCTCTTGCCTCCTCTCAGATGCCAGAGATTAATCCATTCTCAGTACCAAAAGAGAGAGATGTCTCCATCTGCACTGAGAAACCTCTCCCTTCTTCCCTGACTTCTGACAGGGCCCTTAGGACTTTCTCTTATTCAGTAGATAGTGCATACTGCCTCAGTGCCTTTGTCTGGGATCTCTTTAGCAAACACCCTCTGCTTCCTTAACAAGCTGGGAAATCATTTGTTTTTAAACTCTTCCCTCTTCTCCTTGGTTTTAATAAGAAGGGTAGCCTGTTCTGCAGCTCCATCCCTCTGAGATCACCCCTTCAATACCAGGACAGAATGAAACGGATCCTGTGAGCCACTAAGTCTTTTCATTAAACTGGACCAAGATTTACTCCCTCCTTTTTCTTGTACTTCAAGATGGTGACTGCCTTGTTGCATTCACCATCTTTTCCATCATCCCTGCCCCCTGCTGGGGATGAGTCTGAGCTACCAAACTGGCATATGGATTTACATGTTCCCAAAAGCTGCAAATCCCAGACCAGCTGATACCTCACCCCTCTGCCTCAGAGTGCGAGTAAATTCATACCCCGACCCCAGTTTTAGTGACCCTTGAGAAAAGGTTTTGAAAGTCTAAATAAAAGCATATTAACTCCAAGGAAGGTAGAGAACTTTACCTGCCTGCAGCTCCGCCACTGGAAGTGAAGGGGTGACTGCCAAGATATACACTGACATGTGAGAGGGAGAGAGTTGCAACTGCTACCACTTGCTCTAAAGTCTGGAAAGAAAATAATGACCAGCTGCCCCAAGGCACAGTATGCTCTTGAATTGTGCCATGGTAACAGGAGTTTGTCTGTGATGTCACAACCCAGAGGTGATGGGGCTGGTAACCATGTAACCTAGGAAAGGTTCTTGGCTGAAGGCAGTGGGAAGGGGTAGACAGGGAAAGGGGAAGTGGATATGTGGGAAGGTTAGGAGTGCAGGAAGGCACTGGAGAAAGAATGATCACCAGAAAGCTGGTGATGACTGTGAAGCTTACGCTGAACAGGACCTACTCACTAAAGTTAAAATACAAAATATTGATGACAATTGCATAGTGCAAGAGGATGCAAGTTCGAGATTGTACCTTCTGAAAAGAAAAAAAATGAGGCATCAATCCTAGCTTATCTTTCTATACATATGATTTTAAGCAGGCTCCTTTGTGTCTAGTATGTGACTGTGTAAAATGTCTGTCCTTGATTAATTATAATAGTAAATATTTCTTTGTAATTAACTCATGTTTATGTGCAGGAAAAGACATTCTCTATATGGGGTTTGATAGGTGTCTCCTCCTGATTTACTTCTGCTTTTCCTCAGCGGGTCCCTTGATCTTCCAAGGACAACTCTTCAGAAACGTTGTATTTTCCCATTTGTTAATCAGTTTCTTGATATGTTTCAACTCAGTAGAAATTGATAACTTCCTGTTACTGAGGAAGGTAATTCAATCAAAATTGGGACTTTCTGATAACCAATAATGAGCAGTTTCATTAACAGGATTTTCCTGTTAATTATTACTTGGGTTTCTCTCTTGATTTACACAACACAATCTGTGGGCAAGGCAAGAGCCCCCAAGGGGACACTTGCCTGCCTGTACACAAATGCCAGGAGCTTGAGGAACAAGCAAAAGGAGCTCATCCTCCTGCTTAATGCAAATAATTATGATGTCATAGGGCTAACGGAGACCTGGTGGGACTCCACCCATAACTGGACCATGGGTATAGATGGCTATACCCTGTACA